ACGGATTCCAATCGGAGCTTGCCGCTCGTCGTGAAGTAGTTGTGACTTGTTGTTGTTATATGGTGTCTTGTTATTGATATTTATAGGTTGCTGGACTTCCCTGGCTGTTGTTGTTGGTATATGGTATTGGAGGAGGCCCTTGTTACAAGGGAGATGCTGCCCGAATTTACGTAGACGAGCTACTAGCTTAAGTTACAGACTTAGCCTTTGCTCAACACTGATTTTGAATCTCCTTATGCTATGATAGATCGAGTTGACTTGTTTGAAGAGTTGCTTAGAAGGTATTAAGGACTCAACATGTTTAAGGTATGTTAAGGCTCTTCCTTCATTCTTTTGGCATGATCTAAAGTGAAACGAACATAAACGATACGCTATTTCATAATGAATCTACTCCTAGCAACTAAGGTTGTCCGTGTTATTCTTTCCTTACAAAGTTATTCCAAGAAAGTATATATGATCCTTGAGTCCTAGTGAAGTTCATATTGATGGTATGATGTCCATAATGTTAATCGATGGTGCAATGACCTTATGTCACTCCCAAAGGTTTAGAACGTGACTCCATGATTCCAGCATGCATTATATATGTATCTACTTTACTCTACCGAGCCGCGCTATAGTCGGCCGGGTATGGCACCTATTGTGCAACCACTGATCAGTTGGATTTACCGAGCTCCACGTGGCTGGGTACGATTCTACCGAGCCTTATGATGGCCGGGTACGTTTTTACCGAGTCCTCTTTGAGGCCGGGTATGATATGATGATGATGATGCCCACAGAGGCGTATTTTTTAAAAGCTTATGTATATATATGTATTATGCATTTCATGTCAGTAGCCCCCAGAGGCACTCAGATGTTACAGGTTGTATCTCCTCTATCTCTCTTTACGTTACTGATCTTGTTTATACTTTCCTGCCTTACATACTCGGTACTTTATTCGTACTGACGTCCCTTTTGCCTGGGGACGCTGCGTTTCATGCCCGCAGGTTTCGATAGACAGATTACATTCCTCCTAGTAGGCTATCATCTCAGCGAAGGTGTTGGTGTACTCCACTTGCTCCGGAGTTGCCTATTTGGTCAGTATGCTTTTGATATGTATTGATTGGTATGGCGGGGCCCTGTCCCGACCTTTATGATTTTATGTACTCTTAGAGGCTTGTAGACAGATGTCAGGTGTATGGATACTTGTATGGCCTTGTCGGCCTATGTCTTGAGTTTACAAATGGTCATGTCGGCCTTATAGGCCCGTATGTCACATGTATAAGTTTGTATATCATGTTCGGTCATCATATGTTGAGTATTCCCTTATGTTTTATTCTTGTTATCTCATGACATGTTTTCTATCTCATGTACCCTTGATAGTATGATAAGAAAGATATGTTACGTTGGTACTCGGTTGAGTAAGGCACCGGGTGCCCGTCGCGGCCCTTCGGTTTGGGTCGTGACAAATTTGCTTCATTCTCATTTCCTTAAGAGAATGTGATAAAAATATGTGATAACTCTAAAAGAAGACAAAATTATTACCGTGAAGGTATCGATGGATGTGGACGTGGCAATAGACGAAATTATAATCGTCATCATTGTGATAATGAGAATAATAAGGATTCTCAAAATAATCCTTCACTCTATGAAAGTAATATTTGTCAATGGTTTGACATGAGATTTTATAAAGCATATATAGATGATTATGGTCCATTCATGATGTGAATGTGACAACATCTGATTTATGAATACATATTCATTCGTGGAAGAATATGAATGTGCTAGTGGTAATGAATATACCACACTCACCTCTAGAATGAGGTTTGAGGGGAAATAAAAAAAATAATGTCATTATTATGGCATGAATGGTTATTGGTCACATACCTATTGTACGCCAAAATATTTTGCCGATGTGATTATTAAAAGACAACGGTAATGCAAGAAACAGATCTTGCATATAATTTTGACCATAACCATAATGGTATAACTTTCTCTTTAAAAGAGATATTCACCATATGGATGTTGATGAATATGTGGTACTACAAAATTAATTGAGAACTCTGCAAGAGCCAATTATACTATTTTGGAGAAACACAATTGATTACCAATAGGGTATTGTGTTGTAGTAAGTCTCAAAGAAACTTATTTAGTTTCCAAAGTATACACGAAAGCGGCCGATTATATTGAGACTATAAATAAAGAAAAGATTTAATATCTTCTATTACTACAACTTGTACCGAGATAATATGTATGTGAAAAGCTACCCGCTTTATTCTCCAGTTTGTACTATACAAATAAAATAATACCACACTAAAGTGAATGTTTATTGATAAAAAAACCCATATCATAATAAACTTGGAGTTTATTGATAATTGCACACGTCATGGTGTAAACCTGAAGTTTATCAATATTGACAATTTATTCAGTTGGCATAATTGGTTTAGCCATATCAATTTAAGTATGATGTGCAAAAATAATAGAGAATTCACATGGGTAAATATTAAAGAACTAGAAAGTTCTTTACGAATTCTCTTATATTGCTTGTTCTCATTAATTAATTGACCAACTAAAACTGGGATAGAATCCCATGAATGCTGGAAATATCAAAGGTGAATATTGGTCCATTCACCTGCCATGTATACCACATAAGATGCATCTATGAGATGGTTACATGTGCAACCCGCAACATGGTGTTTTGCGAGGTAACTTGCTCAATATTTAATTTAGAGCATATTCCAGTTTTTTTATTCAAGATAGTTCATCTTGATAAGTTGGTTTACATCACAGTTGGTTTGACAAAATAATTTATTGAGTGCCTCCACTTAATAGCTAAACAATTGCTTATGAGAACAAAGTTATCTATATCAGTTTGATATACGTTATATACCAAAGTATATTATTTTCTCCCCTCACAAGTGGTTCAGGGTCAGGAACCAAATAATTCATTCTTTTTATTATTGATGTGCGGTGTATATTTTGTTTAACACCATAACGCACAAAGGTGGATTTTCAAAGTTGAGGAAGCAAGTTAGTTTTTCTAACATGAGGGGGAGAAAGGATAAACAGTTGAGAAAAAGTTACGTGGAATGAATTATCATTTCTACATCTAGATCCTCGAATAAGATAATATGAACTTGAAGTTCATAAAAAGATAATTCATGTGTAATATATTGCAAAGCATGCCAGACGCATTTGCTAACCCAAAGAAAGTAACTATATTCTCGTTGCAAATGCTCCTATTAAGTCCTAGAAGGACAAAGTCTTATGGTACGCTTAAAGCGTATACACAAATCTTTTTCAAATAAAATTTTTGATATAGAAGATGAGCTATGATCAAAATGATCATAATAAGGAGGCAAGTGATCTAGAAGATCACGTGACATAACACTTCATAAAATCTCATGAGAGATTCAGGTACCTGGATATATGAATGAAGAGATCTCTATGTTATGTCTATATGAAAATAAGGAGGTTGGAACCGATATAAAATGTTTGTCGACGACATCTATAATAGCGCTAAATATATATGAGGATCATAAGTCTGGAGAAACAATTCAAGTAGAATTTGGTTTCATATGAAAGACATATAGTTCTGGACATGTAGTTCAAACACTTGAAAGTATAAAGTCAATGGTATGTGCAATCAGTTTTCGATATCTTATTTGTCTAGCATGACATGAAAACTTGATATGCATCTAATTAAAGTCTATTATATGACTTAACTTATATGACAATCCTTGAAGGATTTAAATCGCTTAATGCATATACAATACTTGGCCCTGAAGTACCATATCCTAAGTGCAATTTGTGCACATATGTATATTGCTATTATTATAAGCATGATAATATGATAGCGAGAATCTCTATGGAGATATTGAAGAACCATTCCACGACATTATATGAAGATATTACATATCTATCAAGAATGATGATTTCAAGGCTCAACATATTCATTCAAGTTAATATGGCTGATTTGATTATTAAATCTCTACCAATGATCGTTTGAAGATGGTGCAAAAGATTTGAATGTGAAGGCTCAAGGATGTGAATTGATGCTCTCATCAGGGGGAGTTAATACGCATTCTACTCTTTTTTCCTTACAAGGTTTTGTCCCACTGGGTTTTCCTTGCAAGGTTTTTAACGAGGCAACCAGAAGGGGTATTGTTAGATATGTGTACTCTTTTTCCTTCACTAGAATTTTTTTTCACTGAGTTTTATTTTAGTTAAGGTTTTAACGAGGCACATTATCTGTTGAATAAACATTCAAGGGGGAGTGTTATAAATAGAATTTTATTTATGGTGAATGTCTATATTTAGAGAGATTCTAGGGATTATTACTTGGTGGCTAAGTCACTCTTTCCCTACAAATAGATGGTTCTATTGCATTGTAATTCATCCCAAAATCAATAAGAATTCTCTCCCTACTTTTCTTTGCAATATTGTTCTTCTTCTTTTATTGTTTTATTATAACATAATTGTCTTTTTCTTCACCTTTTTTTTGAGTTACTTCTGATTTTTCCAAAAAGGCTTTCGTCTTACTTTTCAGAAAATAAAAATTACTTTAAAAACCAAAAAGAATCGTTTAAGACCTTTTAAATCTTTTTTCCCAAACCTGAACAAAAACAAAGAGGCCTGGTAGTTGGTTTTCTTTACTTCACCTTTTCATAAGGGTATTCCGCTCATATTGGTAGACCGTATAGTTTATCAATCTAATCCTCAGACACGCAATGTTTATACCAAAACACACAGTCTAGGAAGGAATTTACTAGCTTAAGTGATAAGTCGAGGTGAAAAAAACATTAACTAACATTGATAAATCGAGTGTCAATAAATATTTTACATTTTTATCTTCAAATAAGGCAAGACGCGGTAGTCCACTAATTTCCTGGCAAGATTACAAAAGGGAGTATCTTTATCCTAAAGACTAACTTTGCCACGTTGCAGGCCACCAAATAATAGGCTAATGCTCAAACCAACCAATGAAAAATAGCCCTTATCCTATCTCTTATCTTACTCACAGCAAAGCCACCAAAATAATTTGTCCAGCCTCTCATACAAGCCACTTCTTACTGCCACTCAACCACTTCCTAAAAAGCAGAAACAGAGAGGAGCAGAAGACTTTGATCAAGAAAAGGGTAAAATTATGGCTGCCTCTCTACAAGCAGCTGCTACTCTTATGCAACCAACAAAGGTTGGTGTTGCCCCAGCTAGAAACAACCTGCAGTTGAGGTCTGCTCAAAGTGTGAGCAAAGCATTTGGTGTTGAACCAGCTGCAGCTAGGCTTACTTGCTCTTTGCAAACTGAACTCAAGGACTTGGCTCAAAAATGCACTGATGCTGCCAAGGTTGCTGGTTTTGCTCTGGCCACTTCTGCCCTTGTCGTCTCAGTAAGTTGCTTTTCTTACTCAATTCTGCCTGCCTCATGTCCATATTTCCCATATATCCAGTGCTTTTTCCTGCATAATAAAGTCATAAATTCAGACAGCACAATTTAGGTATTGCATGAAGGCTCTAGTCACCAGACAAACAAATTAGCAGTTTCTCATCATCATTCCGTTAGGATCAATCTAAGCAAATTCATCACATTATGTATATGATTCAACATGCCAGCAATTAAATAACTTATTAGATATACAAACAACCAATGAAAGATGTCACGAGATCCCCCGCTTTATGGGGGGGTTGCCCTCAACGTTAAGGAACATGTACTTGGGTGTATGTGCGACTTGTTTAGATCATGAGTAGGCACAAAAGCAAGAAAGCCACTTTTACACATAGTGATTAGTACCGGTGAATGGGATAGGATGAAAGAAGGAATTCCATTCATTATTAAAAAAAAGAAAAAAAAAAAACTCTATCATAATCCTCTATTGTGTATGAAGTTTATGGTTTCCGTTGGTGTAAAACCAATCACCTGAGTTTAAGATCATAAGAAACACTACAGCTGGATCAGAGATGAATGCTACCTTACCAGTATGGCACACCGATGATTCTAATAGCAGGTAACATTCTTCGAGCTTGTAGGCCTTATATTCTTTTCCAAATATCTAAATCAGGTGCTTGAGGATACGTAGAAATACTTTAGAGGGCTTCTTTACCATTGTCACCCAATATATACACACAATAGCACCTCCAATAGTAAGATCAGTCTATATCCAATCATCCAATCTCTTCAAAAATTTCCATTGTTCATTTCTGGACATTCATGTAGTCATCTGTATTTCAGGACAAGCATCCATGTTTCTGTAAGGATAAACTGTTTTAGGGATTCTGTCTAAATTAAATTTGAAATTCTTGTTTCTCATGCAAAAATTCCTGAAGTTTGTCCACTTGGCTGCTAGGGAGCAAATGCTGAAGGAGTTCCAAAACGTTTAACCTTCGACGAAATTCAAAGCAAGACATACATGGAAGTAAAGGGAACTGGAACTGCTAACCAGTGCCCTACCATAGAAGGAGGTGTTGCCAGCTTTGCCTTCAAGCCAGGCAAATACAATGCCAAGAAATTCTGCTTAGAGCCCACATCATTCACGGTCAAGGCAGAGAGTGTGAACAAGAACGCACCCCCTGATTTCCAGAAAACCAAGCTCATGACACGCTTAACCTACACCCTTGATGAGATTGAGGGACCATTCGAAGTGTCTTCTGATGGCACTGTTAAGTTTGAGGAGAAGGATGGAATTGATTATGCTGCTGTTACAGTTCAGCTTCCTGGTGGTGAGCGTGTGCCCTTCCTCTTCACTATCAAACAGCTAGTGGCAAGCGGCAAACCAGAAAGCTTTAGCGGTGAATTCCTTGTGCCATCATACAGAGGTTCATCCTTCCTTGACCCAAAGGGACGGGGTGGATCTACTGGCTATGACAACGCTGTTGCATTGCCTGCTGGAGGGAGAGGAGACGAGGAGGAGCTTGAGAAGGAGAACGTAAAGAATACTGCATCTTCTACAGGAAAGATCACCCTGAGTGTTACCCAGAGCAAGCCAGAGACCGGTGAGGTCATTGGAGTATTTGAGAGCATTCAGCCATCTGATACTGATCTCGGTGCAAAGGTCCCCAAGGATGTGAAAATCCAGGGTATCTGGTATGCCCAACTTGAATGATGGAGAGATTCTAGAATGTGTATCATTTCTTGGTCTGAATTTGTTTGTAAGTTACAAGGTTAAACTTTCTCTGACTCAATTTGGACAAGCATTGGAAAAACTATCTTGCTGTATATTATCAAGCTTGAGTAATATTTCATGCTAATAGCCAGTTACAAACATTGCTAATGCTTGTATTTACTCAGAAGTACTGATCATCACAGAGAAGTGCTAATTAATGACAGTCTATGTCCCCTCGACGCCACAATAATCAAAATATGGGAATGTGTTACAGCAAAGGTGAGCTCAATCTTTGTTCCCCACAATCATCAAAATATGGGGATGTTTTCAATAAAAGTGTGCTCAATTAAGTAATTTTTATGTCATTAAGAGATCTTAAACCATGGCAAGGAGTACATAGCTAATAAGTAACAAACAACTTAGTGCCCATCATTCCCCGGGAGCATTTCCCGGTCGTTATGGGATTACACCAAGGCTCTGCGCTTAGCCCGTTCTTACTTGCATTGGTGATGAATGCATTGACACACCATATTCAAGGGGATGTGCCATGGTGTATGTTATTTGCTGATGACATAGTTCTAATTGATGAGACGAGGGTCGGTGTTAACGAGAGATTGGAGGTTTGGAGACAGACCCTCGAGTCTAAAGGTTTCAAATTGAGCAGGTCTAAGACAGAGTACCTGGAGTGCTAGTTTAGCGCTGAGTCGAGGAAAGTAGCCAGGGACGTGAGGCTTGGATCCCAAGTCATCCCCGAGAGAGATAGCTTCAAGTACCTTGGGTCAATGATTCAGGAGGACGGAGAGATCGACGAGGATGTCACTCACCGTATAGGGGCGGGCTGGATGAAATGGAGGCTTGCATCTGGAGTCTTGTGTGACAAGAAAGTGCCACCGATACTCAAAGGTAAGTTTTATAGAGTTGTGGTTAGACCGGCCATGTTGTATGGGGCAGAGTGTTGGCCGGTTAAAAACTCCCATATCCAGAGGATGAAGGTAGCAGAGATGAGGATGCTGAGGTGGATGTGCGGGCACACTAGGATAGACAAGATTAGGAATGAAGATATTCAGAAGAAGGTGGGTGTGGCCCCTGTGGATGACAAGATGCGGGAAGCGAGGCTCAGATAGTTCGGGCACGTGCGGAGGAGAAGCCTTGATGCTCCGGTGAGGAGGTGTGAGCGGTTGGCCATGGTGGGTACGAGAAGAGGTAGAGGGAGGCCTAAGAAGTATTGGGAGAGGTGATCAGGCAAGACATGGTACGACTGTAGATTTCCGAGGACATGGCCCTTGATATGAAGGTCTAGAGGTCAAGCATTAGGGTTGTAGGTTAGGGGGTAGTAGAGCTTTCCTTACTTCATACCGGGGGTGAGGCGGGGTTGGATTAGGGTTGATCTTAGATGGCTTGTAGTTTATGTTGAATCCACACTATCCTTGCTGTTTATCTTAGCCCCGGGCCTTAAATACTGGTTACTGTTATTGCATGTCATTTATCTTTTGGTTGTTATGCTTCTGTTACTATTACGGTTTATACTGGAGTTACTAATGAATTGTCTCTTCTTATTTTTTTATTTCCGTCTTTCTGAGCCGAGGGTCTATCGGAAACAACCTCTCTGCTCTATCAGGGCAGGGGTAAGGTCTGCGTACACATTACCCTCCCCAGACCCTACTTTGTGGGATTTTACTGGGTAGTTGTAACTTAGTGCCCATCACAGACCATGCAGTGGTAAAGCAGATGAAATTTGCAACTAAAGTAGAAACAGACAGACAGATGGATAGAAATCAATACCAAGAGAAATAAACAACGGAACCAATATAAATTCTTACTCTTCCTTGATTTAAGTTCCCATGAATAACAATCATCTTATTGTATCAATATTGACCGGCAAACATATACAATTCGTATTATAGTCCCAGGTACCAAACCTGGCAGTAGCACCTTTTCTTCTTCTTGCTTAGGACTTTGCCACTCTGAAGAGACGACCTTCAGACATACAATGAGGTGACTAAAGGCGGTTAGAATTGAATTGTTACATTTTTGCATACAACACTAGGCTGTAGAACCTTTGTGCTGAGTGTATGTCACGAAGCTAGTGCTAGCAAAGTTTTCTAAATCATTAGTTGCAACCGCAAGCATGGTCACAGTGGATGACATCTTTAGACTTATATTTTCCTTGGAGAAGAACAAAAGGAATCTTCTTCATATAGTATTATCAGCTTAGATCCCCCAAGTATCCCTTAAGAATTTATTATACTTGCAGCTTATCAAGTTTAATACTTAATGGCATTTGTTATTTCACCAAAAATCTCTACAGGAGCATAACCCATCCTTAAAATGGTGAAATCTTAGAGGATCTCTCACAATGATCTGCACTCCAACAATTTTGGCTAAATACTTAATGGCATTATGGCAATCTCCACATATTCTCAAGTTTTTGAACACCCTAATTGACGATGCACCATCCAAATTAAGAATCCCAAAGGCAACAGCAAGCCTCTCGCTATGATTGCACAAACTGTATTCCTTCTCCTCTGCATCAAGATCTTGGCCAACAAGGTCTGTACAGGGTAAATACCCGGCTAACTTCATCTTTTCACCTATTTCAGCCAAAAAGCTGTAAATCTCTGCAGTCTGAGCATTATTCTTGTCACCGACAACAAAGGTATGCACTTTGTCTTTCACTTGAATCCAACTACAACCAGGAAGTTTAATAATTCCTCTTTCTCTCATCAATTTCCTAATTTCTGAGGCCTCCTCTCGTAGTTTGGCTGCTTCATAGATGTTGGACAACAAAACATAGTTCCCTGCATTTTCTGGCTCAATCTCCAACAGTTGTTTTCCAGCAGCTCGTGCCAATTCCACGTTCTTGTATACTCTAGAAGCACCAAGCAATGCTCCCCAAGCACTAGCAGTTGGTTTCAGGGGCATGTTTTGGATAAAATTATATGCCTGTTCTAGGCGACCAGCACGGCTTAGAGCATCAACCATGCACGAATAATGTTCTGCATCAGGTTCAATTCCATGCTCCTTGCTCATTGAGTAAAAGATCAAAAGACCCTCGTCTACCAGCTGTGAATGGCTGCAACCCGATAGCACGCCAGTAAAAGTAACAGAGTTGGGTTTCACCCCCAAACTTACCATTTGATGAAAAAGCATCAAAGCTTCCTCTCCTTTCCCATGCATTGAATTTCCAATAATCATTGTATTCCAAGCAATAGTATCTTTTTTTGGCATCATATAGAAGACTCTTTTGGATAGTTCCAGGTCACCACATTTAGCATACATGAGTACCAAAGCAGTGGAGACTGTCTCATCTTTCAAAAATAAACGGCGAATGATAAAACCATGAATCTCTGCACCTCTTCTTATGCTTCCTAGATCTATACAAGTAGGTAACACACTGGTGATTGTGATTTTATTTGGTTTTGCACCTGACTGCTGCATTTCACGAAGTATTTGAAGCGCCTTGTCTGTTCTTCCACTTTGCATGCACCCACCAATAACAGAATTCCAGGAATCGTGATTCAGTTTAGTTCCTCTTTTTCTCAACTGATCAAAGACATGAAGTGCTTTGTCACATTGCCCATTTGAAAAATATGCTGACATAATGACGTTGCATAAAACATAGTCAAACTGATGCGTACTATCAAATACTGACTCTGCTTGTTTGATACTTGAACAACTAGCATACATGTCCACAAGAGCACTGCTAACATACACATTATCGTGTATCCCATTCCTAATAATATAACCATGAATCTCTCTACCCAAATTCAAACTTTTCAAATCCGAGCAGGCAGGAAGTATAGAAGACAATGTAACAGGATTTGGCCTCACCCTATTTAACCCCATTTCACGGAATATCCTTAGCGCCTCTCTTGGAAGTTTACAGTTAACATAGCATGAACTCATCGACGTCCAAGAGATTACATCTTTAGCACTTAAATTATCAAAAACCTCTTTTGCACCTTGAATGTATTTACACTTGCCATACATGTCAATCAATGCATTTCCAAGGAGCAAATCACAGTGATATCCATATCTAATTACATCTTGATGAATCCCTTTTGCCTTTATAAGGTTGCCCAAAGTAGCACAAGTCTTGGTTACTGATAACAGTGCTAACTGATCAGGAAGAACTTTCCTTTGCCGCAATTCGTCGTAGACTTTCAATGCTTCTTCTGGAAAACCCCTCTTCGTGTATGTGGTGATCAAGAGCGTCCACGATCGTATATCTGGTTCGGGAATTTCATCGAACAACTGACGGGCACGTCGTATATCTCCATGAGGCTCAAGAGCACGCCGGAACTGGAGGTCCAGACTAGGCCGAATGCTTGAGGGTAGCTTTGAGAGCATGTGCTTTACTACCCTAATGGTGGATGCAAGTTCACAGGTTTGTTACAGCAGTTGATGTAGCAGTATTTTGTAGCAATGCAGAGAAGTACTATTGGCTTTATTCGTTGTCCATAGACGTTAGTGGCAGTTGGGTTTAAAAGGCTTAGCTAGCGTTTGGCCATAGATACTAAATTTGTTTTGAAAAATCTGATCGGTATGAAGTTTGGTTTGAAGATGAAAATGTGTTTGGACATACGTTTTCAAAACATATTTTTCAACTTTATTTTGGAAAAACATGTATATAATTTCCAAGTTTTGGGATTTTGGCCCAAAATCATAGCTGATTTTGGGATTTGAAATTTGGGATTTGGGATTTGACCAAAATATGAGCAAAATTTATAGCCAAACATGAGTTTTGAAAATAAATTCCAAATTTATTTTGGCAAAACTCATGGCCAAACGGGCCTTAGTTGTTTCTTATTACATTTCAGTTCCTTAAAGTTTTAGTTAATTCACTTTAAAGTCCCACCGGTGAACTGTACAATTTAGCTAGCGTTTGGACATAGATTTAGTTGAAACTTGAAAAAATAATTTTTGAAGTAGTTTTGAAAAATAACTTTTGGAAGTTGAAATTATGTTTGGACATGCATTTTATTTGAAAAAAATTTGAAGTTTTGTGAGTGGGAGAACAAGTTTCACCCAAAATCTACCCTAAACTAGATTTTGGGAATTCGAAAAATAATTTCAGAAATTTTTCAAAAATAGATCATTAATCTATGAACAAACAATGTTTTCAAAAAAGATTTGAAAAAACGTTGCCAAAATGTATGGCCAAACGGGGCCTTAATTACAGAGAATGATTTTGCTTGAGCATATTCTTTATGCTAGAAGTCAAATAAATGTAACTCGAAGAAAAATAACTTAACGCCTTAAGAAAAGTCATTTTTTCTCTTTAAAGAAAATTATTTTGTAATAATCAAACACTACGAAATGATATTTTTATTAAAAAAGCATAAATATTTTTTTTTAAAAATGACACTTGTCATGCCATAGTGACCCTAAACATCGGACAAATATATGCTAACCAAATATACATAACTTCCATAACATTTTCACCGTGCTACAAGATTGCTTCTCAAATAGTATGTACAGTGAGACCTCTCTATAACATCATCCGTATATAATAACATTTCACTATGGGTGTATTTTCCAATTTTCCCATGTTTGGTTGGCTTAAATTTTTTGGAAAATATTTTCCTTATGAACTCATTTTGTTTTCCTTATCAAGAGAAGGGAAAATATTTTTCAAAACTCCTTGTTAACCTTCTCTACCCTCACCAACCCACCCCACCCCCTCTCTCCAAAAAAAGTTTTTTTTTTTCAAATTTCAGTTCTTCCATTACCACCCACCCTACTACCCCTCCACCCCACCCCACCCCACCCCCTCCCGCAAAATTTTTTTTTACCTTATTTTTTTTATTACAATTTCAAATTTCTGTTTTTTCGTTTTTCTGCACCACCACTCCCCCCCCCCAACTACGTCCCCCCCCCCCAATCTAAAAAAAAATATTTACTTTTTTTTTGTAATTTCAAATTCTGGTTTTTCGTTTTCTCGACCCCAAACCCCCACCCACCCCCTCCCCCCGACCCCCACCCCCGTAAAAAAATATTTTTTAATATATTTTTCAGATTTAGTTTTTTTAATTTATCAATTTAAAGGTTCAAAATTTTATAAGTTCCAAAATTATGAGTTCGGAGGTTTATGTGTTTGGAAGTTTACAGGTTCAGAAATAAAGTTTACAACAACAACAACAACAACCCAGTAAAATCCCACAGAGTGGGGTCTTGGGAGGGTAATGTGTACGCAGACCTTACCCCTACCCCGATAGGGCAGAGAGGCTGTTTCCGATAGACCCTCGGCTTAGAAAGACGGAAAAAAAAACAAGAAACAAGAAAATAAGAAACAAGAAAAGACAATTCATTAGTAACTCCAGTAGAAACCGTAATAGTAACAGAAGCATAACAACCCAAAGATGAATGACATGCAATAACAGTAAGCAGAACATAAGGTCCGGGGCTAAGACAAATAACAATGATGGTGTGGATTCAACATAAACTGCAAACCATTTTAGATCGACCCTAAACAACCCCACCTCACCCCCGGTAAGAAGTAAGGGAAGCTCTACGACCCCCTAACCTACAACCCTAATGCTTGACCTCCAGACCTTTCTGTCAAGGGCCATGTCGTCGGAAATCTGCAGTCGTTCCATATCCTGCCTGATCACCTTCCCCCAATACTTCTTAGGCCTCCCTCTACCTCTTCTCGTACCCACCACGGCCAACCGCTCATACCTCCTCACCGAGGCATCAAGGCTTCTCCTCTTCACGTGCCCAAACCATTTGATCCTCGCTTCCCGCATCTTGTCATCCACAGGAGCCACGCCTACCTTCTTCCGAATATCTTTATTCCTAATCTTGTCTATCCTAGTGTGCTCGCACATCCACCTCAACATCCGCATCTCTGCTACCTTCATCCTCTGGATATGGGAGTTCTTAATCGGACAACACTCTGCCCCATACAACATGGCTGGTCTAACCACAGCTCTATAAAACTTACTTTTGAGTATCAGTGGCACTTTCTTGTCAAGACTCCAGATGCAAGCCTCCATTTCATCCATCCCGCCCCTATACGGTGAGTGACGTCCTCGTCGATCTCTCCGTCCCCCTGGATCATCGAACCAAGGTACTTGCAGCTATCTATCTTGGGGATGACCTGAGATCCAAGCCTCACGTCCCTACCTACTTCCCAAGACTCGGCGCTAAACTTGCACTTCAGGTACTCTGTCTTAGACCTGCTCAATTTGAAACCCTTAGACTCGAGAGTCTGTCTCCAAACCTCCAATCTCACGTTAACACCGACCATCGTCTCATCAATTAAAACTATGTCATCAGCAAATAACATACACCATGGCACATCCCCTTGAATATGGTGTGTCAATGCATCCATCACCAAGGCAAATAAGAACGGGCTAAGCGCAGAGCCTTGGTGTAATCCCATAACAACCGGGAAATGCTCCAAGTCGCCTCCCACGGTCCTAACCTTAGTCTTAGCTTCATCATACATGTCCTTGATCGCTCTTATGTAGGCTACCGACACGCCTTTTGCCTCAAGACATCTCTAGAGCACCTCCCTAGGAACCTTGTCATACGCTTTCTCCAAGTCAACAAACACCATGTGCAGATCCTTCTTCTTATCCCTGTATTGTTCCACCAACCTCCTAATAAGGTGGATAGCTTCCGTAGTGGAGCGGTCCGGCATAAACCCAAACTGATTGTCAGATATAGACGTCGTCTTCCTCACCCTCACCTCCACCACCCTCTCCCAAACTTTCATGGTATGGCTAAGTAACTTGATACCCCTATAATTGTTACAACACTAGATATCACATTTGTTCTTGTACAATGATACCACTGTACTCGACCTCCATTCCTCCGGCATCCTCTTCGTCCTAAAAATTACATTGAACAACCTAGTCAGCCACTCCAATCCTACTCTACCCACACACTTCCAAAACTCAACCGGAATTTCATCTGGCCCGGTCGCTCTACCCCTACTCATCTTATGCAAAGCCCCCACGACCTCCTTCACCTTAATGCGCCTGCAATACCTAAAATCTCGAAGACTCTCCGAATGCCCCAAGTCCCCTAGCACTATATCCCGGTTCCCCTCCTCATTTAGAAGACCATAGAAATTACGTCTGTCATCTCTGCTTAATTTGGGACTCACCCATCAATACTCTACCATCCTCATCTTTTGATACACCTTACTTGGTCCAGATCCCGGACCTTCCTCTCTGTTATAGACTGTGCATCCACCAGACTGTATAGAGAATCGGGTTCTCTATGTGTTTTCTCTGAAAGTACCGATGAACCAAACTATATAGCGATCTGGTCCTATATCAGTTTGGTGCAGTGCTAAGTTTGTGTAAGTCCACCAAATAGTAGAGTACCTGGTCCTTTATCGGGTTCTGCAGTGAATGCTAGTAAAGCTGAATGTAAATAAGGCCGAGGATTTTTACGTGGAAAAATCTCACACAAGGGGATCAAAAAACCACGACCTACACCTGTAGGCTTTTAACTTCACTAACTTGGAATCTCCCTATTACAAGTCACTTTACAATAACTCTATTGCAAAGACTTTAACTAACTTATGATGCTCTCATCACAAGCCACTCTATAACTATCCTAGTTACGAAGAATTTGACTAACTTGTGGTATTTCCACCACAAGCCACTTTGTCACACTACGGTCACAAAGGCTTTGACTAACTTGTGATGTTTCCAACACAAGCCACTTGGTCACCCTACAGTTACAAAGGATTTTTCTTATGACTCAACCTAATCAATGCTTCTAAGAAAGCTGGATAGGAGTTACAATGAAGAACAGATAGAAAAGACTCAACAACCTAAGGACTTAAGATAACTTCGATCTTGGATCAGGTCCTTGAGGTTGAAGCAGCTTTGTTCTTGAGAGAGGTTCTTGAACACTTGAGAGAATATTTTCCTTTTCTGATTTTGCAAGTGTTGAACCTAAATCTTATGCCTTGCATAAGGTTTATACTACACAAGACATCCTTAGTGATGTCCAATCTCAATGGTGATGTCCAATCGAAATGGAAAGTGGCTGCTGCACTGTCTGCTGCACTGTTGCAGGCAGTCACTTTCTGCAATTGCTTTCCAGCTGTAGTTGACTTGTACTTCTGTCAGAGAACACTAAGGGACCAGGTCCCTGTTGTGTTCCACTTTGTACAGTTGCGGACAGTCACTTTCTGCAGTTGTGTTCCAGCTGTATAGTTGACTTGGACTTCTGTCAGGGGAGCACCAAGGGATCAGGTTCCTGATCTGGTACTTTTGCACACTGCCCAGATTGTCTTGAGTTGAGTAACTTGAATCATTGTACTTTAGTTGATTAAAGAATGAGTTAGCGCTGGAAATAGTGCAGTGCGACAGAATCTTCATTTTCAGCTGTGTCCAATTGACTTTGTACTGCTGTGAGGAACCCACAAGAGTATCAGGTCCTTGTTTGGGTTCCTACCTTCTGAAGCTTTCCTGAAGTTGTAGCAAGTTCACATTTGGCTGGAATCCGTTAGATGCAGTGTAATCCAAGTGAGTCAGGTTCCCTATCTGGTTCTTGACATTAAGTTTGTT